ATAAATTAATTGAAGCTGACATTTCGAGTGCAGAGGATGACCCATGATGATGAGGCTGTTTGCCATAAAGCTTGTGCAGGATATGCAATGTCCGCCATATCCTGTCTGTCCGTCTGTCTCTCTGTCGGTTTGTCTGTGTGTGCCTACTTTCGTGTGCCACTGTGTGCCAGTTTTTGAGCTGCTGCCGCCGCCAAGAGTTCAGAGTCTGCTGCGCATTTCCGTTTCCGGCTTAATTGTTTTCATTTCATTTGGAAGCACTCTAAATAAACCTATTCCTAGCAGCGCAGCTGGTAATTGCGTTTGGCCAGGACACGACATGACTTGTCTCTGTGTATGTGTGTGCGGGTGTCTGTGTCTGTGTGTGTGTGGTTTTTGACAGTAAAATGAATTTTGCGGCAAGCCGCGTAATTATTTTATGCCCTCGGCCAAACAAAGCACTCGCCCCCTGCCACAGCGCTTCGCCCCTGGCCCTGCCGCAATATATCAAGAGTTGAGGCAAACGTTTCATGTTTATAAACGAGCAGCAGCCACAGCTACACACACACACCCCCCACAAACACCCAACCCTGTCCATTATTATTTATGCGTATGCATGGACTTATCCTTGCACCCACACTCTCTCATACACACACACACACACACACACACACGCATACACCCGGCCTCTCTATGCATGCTAATTAAAATTCAGGCATTGGCGCCGCTTTGCATAGCTTGGTAATTTGCTTGGCCAGGGCCAAACAGCATGAATATTTGAATGTGGCTGCCATTCATCGACAGTTTAGGCCAACGTGCAACTATGCCAGGTGAGTGGGTGGTTCTGGTGGCACGAGGCATAAGGCATGTGGCGTGCAGCCTACGAGCGCTGTGTTTGGATAATGTTGGCTAAGGCGCAAGCAGAGAAACAAAAATGTCAAGAAATAAGGCTTATCTGCGGCACGCCGAAGATTAAATACCCTTGTAGCCTGCGAGCTTCTGCTGCTGATTTATGTTCGACTGATTTATGATCGGTATATGATATAGTAGACCAATCTGACAGATTACGACACGGGAGAGTTTAGCTAAGATTTATATAGGCAAACGGACATGGCTACATACGCTCCATCATAAAATAATAATACCCGCTACAAGGGTAGACAAAAAGCAGGGTATTTAAAACAACAACAAAATGTGCGACAACTCACCCTCACCCCCTGCTCCTCCTGAGCGTATTTCTTGATTTCACGCTCCAAATCAAGCTGTGGGCCAGAATTGAGAAGGTTCAGTTTTGTATTTTTGTTCTCTGTATTTTTTTTTATTTTTTTTTTTCATATTGTAGTTCAGAGGGCAATGTATGCCAGAGACCAACTGGCGCCAGTTAAATGCCCATAAATGTTGTTAATATAAAATTCATACACACACACACTCACACACTCGCTCAGAGAATAGCTAAGATATGCGTGCGCCAAAGTTATGTAAGGCCTGGCAATAGCAGAATTCTTGGACACAAGCTGGATAGATACTAAGTAAGTATTAATGTGTGTGGTGGTACGAGATGAGTTAGTAGCTTGAGCTTACAGTTATTTCAGTTCTCAAAAGTCTAGCAATAAAATAGGAAAATCTTGGAAGAGCTTTGTACTGAACTGCTTGGACTCATAGGAAAATGTCAGGTTTAGCAGAAGAGAAATAATTGTTGTCTAGAAATAGGAATCTCTTTAATCAAGAGATTATGTCTTATATTCAAGCATTTTTCCTTTTGTTTCTAAAATGTTCAACTTGTTATAAGTAAACACTTTTTTATATTTTGAAAGGGAAGAAAACGTTGCTCACGGGGATTTGAGCCTGAATTTCGTATCCAGTTCTTAGCCCAGACAGCTCTTGGCTTTTTAGATAAATTGTGAAAAGTTTCTAGCTAGCCTAGGCCCGCGTTTCATTGACTTTCTGGCTTATTAAGGATTGCTCTGGCAGCACCTAATAAATATAAAACAATGCATTAAAGTTGCGACAGCCTTGGATAAGTTTTTCGTCAGGTTTCAACTGAGCCACGCGTTAGATAACAACTATTAATTATAGTTGACATAGCCTTTTGTGTTTTGGTGAAAGCCTTTTAATATGAAAAAAAACGGAACTAAAAGCTGAACATGTGCATATACGAAATGCAATTGGAATAGAGGCAACAACAACAAAGGCTAGAATTGACCTCGACCCGGCGAACAGCGTTGATTGCTCGCTTTTGCTGCCGTTGCACGCGGCGTATACGCAACGCAGCTGCCAACTTTTTTAATTGCTCGCCCACGCTCTCGATGAAGAAAAAAAGAAAAGCCAGAAAAACTGTAGTAAAATTCGTACGTTTTTCATTCTTATTTTATGTTAAATGGGGTATGTGCAATCGGAATAAAAAATTATCTTACAGCATATTAAAGTCGAATTGCATATAAAAGGCTTACTGATGTTTTCGGTGTTTACGCCTGAAGCCGTTCAATTTAATAAAGTATAGATTACTTTTGATATTCACTTTGATAGGACTAGCACAGAAATATATTGTCACGCCCAATTATTCTTTTGTTTTTAAAGAAGATACCTTCCACAGCTCCTGCAAATTGTAAATTGATTGTCGGCCTTGGTCTTATTTGAGGATAAGAACTATTTTCCCCGAAATCGATAAATATTGACAGCCCGTCTTGGTCTTATTTAGGAATATCGATAAATATCGATAGTCTATCTTGATTTGTTTAAGGATATCAATAAATATTGATGGACAGTCTTGGTTTTGTTTAAATGTATTGATAGGCAGTCTATGTCCTATTTAAGGACATCGATAAATATCGATAAACGGCCAGGATATAGATAGTATTATTGAATCAGATATCGCAGATAATAAGAGCTAGTTTCGCCAGACACAGGGTAACTCCAAGTCCAACAGTTTTATATATAGACTTCTCTTGTTTTTGCCGACCATTTGTTATTGTTATTTCCGCTTGCTACATTTTGAACTGAGGATTTTTAATTACAACTGTCGCTGGTTATTTCGCTCGTTTGTTCCGCCAAACCGGAGACAAATTCATTTCGTGCAACGCCAAACGCCGCCCCAGGGCGTGGACGACTTTCAATGGGCCAATGCGAAAGAAATATATTTATTTGCGACAATTGCGACAGTCGAATGCTATTCAAGTTGTATTCAAGCATTCAATTGATGCGTGAACAAAATGTGAATAAATTGCCAAGTGGGCAGCTAGCCAAAGAATAAAACCAGCCTGAGCGAATGGATCAGTCGGAAGCTATAAGTGGAGCTGCCTTAAATAAGTAGCATATCATATGGCATCAAGGTCTCCCCACAGTGTCTCTCTCTCTCTTTCTTTCTGTGTGTGTGCGTGTTGTTTGGGCTTTTTGTATGGTCCGACGCCTTTGTTGACATGCCCTGGACAACGGCCAGCCCTTATGTGGCCTGAAACTGTGGCTTAATACATGGCATTATGTGTACGCATGTTATCTATGGGCTGGCATGCGAGTAATTACAGAGTATAGCTCTGCCTCTGTGTTTGTTTGTGTGTCTGTGTGTGTAAGTAATAAGCAGCTGCCCCGTTTTGCTGTCCTTGGGGACAGATGAGTCAGAGTATTGTCAAACTGGTTCGGGCAAATTTTCAGTAGATTTCCCACAGGGCAGCGCCGCATATGTCCTGGGGCTGAACTGCTTGAGTTTCGTGTATACCCTGTGTGCATTACAAATGGGTATAGTTAATACAAAATCTTGATCAGCTCGCTGATTCTGTGTCTATTTCCATGTGCCTCTCACTGTCTCCAAAAACCTCGAAGCTAATATCCTAATATCGATTTGCATATCTCGTGTATTTCGCTTTCTAGAAACATTTGCTATTAAAAGAAGTTCAAATATGTTTTGGGTAAAGGGTAGCTGATAGTCGGGCACTCTTAGTTAAACTTGTTTCGTTTTTTTTTTTTTGGGTGTCAATAAGCAAGAATTATGATGCAAATCGAATGCATTTTGCTTGTTGCATAACTGCGCAAGCAATAAAAAACAAGGTCAGCGGGGAGGGGTAGTGTTTATTGGGATGTTGACGGGGGCGGGGAGGGGGGCTGGTTGTCAAAAACAATGGCAAACTGTCTGCGAGATGTACGAAATGTATGCAACAAATTGAATTTTATTGCTTGCCCCACATTGAGTTGCAGAGTGCGAGGCGGTGGGAAAGGGGGCAACGGGGCGCACAAAAGGCGTTGCGACTGATGAAATGACTAACAATAAGTGTTTGAGTGTGTGTGTGTGTGTGTGTTGGTGTGTGCTTAAAGAGCGCTTATAGCTGACTCATTTGTAGACAATTTGTCTATTGTTTTTTTTTTTTTTTTTTTTTTTTTGAAAAACGTTTTAAATTAATTAAACAACAACAAGGAACAACTACCAAAAACATGTCAAAGTTACTGTGTGCATGTGTGTGTGTGTGTGTGTGTAGAACTTATAATAAAATACTACGAACAAACTGCAACGCTAGCTTAAGATTTAAGTTGAAGTTAACTATATTAACTGGCAGTTAGTTCAAAGCAAAACGAAGCAAAAGTTATTTAAGAATTTTCGAATGCTAGGCGCTACGATAGATCATATGCTGTTGTGTCTTTGTATTTGGTATTTTATGGATATCAATAAATGGGTTTAGTGTATTTGGTATATTTGGTATTTTACTAGTATATGGTATATATAGTTTGTATATGTAACAAGAAAACAAAAGTTAAGCACTTGCAGTCGCAAAAGTAGTTCAACATTAACTAAAAACAAACTATAAAAGTTAGTATTTTTTTGTTGGTATTTAACGTTGTTTTTTGTACTTTTTTGTAGTATTTTTTTTGTGGGGGGCAGCGCCCGTGTACGAAATCATTGTCACTAGAGCATTTTGTTTGCCGCAAAACGAGAATTAGACAGAGAGACAAAAAGTCTCTGTTGGGCGTGGGGGGCGGGGGGCGGCCGCCTGTTTCTCCAGGCACAACAAGGATATTTTTGTGGGCAAAGGACTTACCTGTTTCTGTGCCATCGCCTGCATTTGCTGGAACATTTGGCGCTCCTCCTCTTTGCCTGCAACCAAATGTGGCATGTGTCTATATATGTATACATTTGCCCCACCCCTTCAAAGTGCGAGACTTACCCATGCCCTTGGCCTGCAGCATTTCGAGCAGCTTCTTGATGCTCTCGTCGCGCGCGATGAGCGTCTGCTTTTGGGTTTCCACGCGGCACTCGAGATCCTTGATGGTCTCGCGCAATATGCTGATCTCGCGCTGCAGATGATCGTTCTCCGCGTAGATGGCTTCCATTTGCTGCTGCATCTCGAGATTGGGCTGGCGCATGCGCAAGCGCAGCTCCTCCTCCAGCTGACGCACGAGCATTGCTTGTTTCTGGGTGCCAAGAGTCCAGTTAATTAAATGCACTCACCTGCTGCAGCTGTGTAATTTGCTTACCTGATTCTCTGTGCTGAGCAGCTTAAGCTGATCATTGATCAGACTGTACTTGGCGCTCTCCTCCTTGCGCAGCGCCCGCTCCTTCTTTAGCTCCGGCGACCAGAAGGTCTTGATGCTGTGCATCGAGCTGCCCAGCTTTTGATTCGTCAGTTCCAGCTCGCGCTTCAGATTGCCCAGCTCACGCTGCAGATCCGTGTTCTGATGCTGCAAATCCCCGAGATAGGCACGATCCGATGTGGGCATGCCCGTGTTATAGCCTGTACATAGATTGAGTATAGAATTGTAGAATGGTATATATGTTATTCCAAATTCATATATATTTATTCCCTTATTAGTTAGTTAATATTTTGTAAGTAATATATATTATTTCCTTTCTCTTTTCAGGCCTTTCCAGGATAATAATTGGTAAGCTGACAAATTTTTATATCATATACAAATATATACCCAGCATATATCTGAAATATTACGGCTTCCACGAATGGGAGATCTAGCAGAAATATCGTGGAATAATGTTTGAAATTTCTCGACAAAATACCTAACAGAATCTTTACGAGCGTGGGGCTTAACGTTTTCCTTCTTGGGTGAATCTATGGTCTTGGCTAAGGTTTCCTTTCGCCCGATCCCAATCTAACCCAACTTAATACCTATAATTAAGATTTAGTAAGTGGACCGTCACTTACCTCCTAGCGCATTGGGACTTTGTCGCGCCGAACGGCCGTACAGTTCGTCCTCCAGGTAGAGTCCTCTTTCCAGGGATCTGTCCCGGGAGCGATCACGCGGCTCTCGTATGGGAATAAATTCACGTTCGTGCGGATCGACAAGGCCGCCGCGATCGAGCGACTGATAGCGGGTTCCTGTTGGATTTTAACAAATAAAATAGTATAGAATTAAAAGGAGAATATGCTTGGGGTGGCTGAATGTGGGTTAGAGATGTGCTGGGTTATTACTTGGATAGTCCATGGCATGTGACATCGGTGGTCTGCTGGCACTGCGGCTGCGATGGTGTCCCGCACCGGCGGGACTTGTTGGCTCATCCATGTCGCGGTAGTATGGACTGCCCATTGCTGAAATTCATACAGAATTCATGACGATGATCAAATGAGGATGACGGGTTCGGTATTTGTTTATCTTTTCTTTTGTTTTTTTGTTTTTCTGCTTGAGTGTGAATTCAGAAATGAGGAACAAAATCATAAAAAATAACCGGTTCATATGTAAATCAAGAGCTGGAACTAGTTTGTATTTTCTTGTAGTAGATGAAAACTAGTGCAGTGTTTTTTTTTATTTTTATTTTTTTTTATTTTTGCTTTTCTCTGAGTTCGGGATTCGGTTGCTGATTGCGCTAAAGCTAGTTCGTGTCGCTCATACTGAATTATGCAGTTACTATATGGTATATTAAAAAACGGGTTAGTTGAAAGGAACGCAGGGAACGCAAAAACTCAACATGAACGTAAAATGTTTGTCGTGTATCGCGCGCGAGTTGCTGCCTGCCTCGTTGCCATATAAAATGGCTCATAAACTAGCTACTTTGTTAGCCAACACCCCGCTCACTCCTCCCCTTTGGCCTTGCTGCAGCAACGCTGTGTGATTTGTGCATCGGTCCCGGGAGCGGTTCTGTGTGTGTGTGTGAGTGTATGTGTGTGGGGGGGCCATAAACTAAACTTTTTGCCAGCATGAGCTGAACATTTTGCACGTAACCAGCCAAGCCACACGAAACTTAATTTGTGGCTCTTTGTTGTGCCGTGTCCTTGCGCATCAGTGTTGCCAGCTTGCCTTTTTGGCCAATTTTCAAAGCTAATTTTAAGGCTAAGCCAAATACTACTTAAAGTACTAACCAATTTGTGCTGCTATTGAATATGAATAATTTTTCAAATCACAACATTTTGCTTGCATAGTCCCTGAATTTAATCCCATGACTTCTTTTGATATTTATAAATTTATATATACTAATATTTATATTTTGATAATGCCTATAGACCATTTCCAATAGCGGACACATATTTGATTTTTCCCTCAGTTTCCCTTACTGAAGAAAACTCAACTAAAACTTATCTGATCACATTTTCTTTCCTCATTTTATGCTTCTTTCTTGACTTCCGTTCAAATTTATGTCTGGCTAAAAATTTGCCAACCCTGCGGCTTGACTTTATTAAATCATAAATTCTCAAGTGTTATTTATGGTGCTATGCCTCAGCTAGAGGGCAATAACAGACGCTATTTTGGTCGTTCAGATAAGTTGAAACTCTAATTAGTTGGCCGCGAGTTAAGAAGTTTTTTATTATTTGAGCATGTGTAGAAACTACGCTCAATTTATGGTCAATTTGTGTGCTCAATTAAGCGGTGTTTTATTGAATTAATGGTATAAACTGTGGGTTCAAACAAAGTTGGCGTCCAACGCGAGTCACTAACAAACTTCGTCGGCTGTGGAAAAGCGAGCATGTAATGAATTTAGTGAATGTTTTCTGTCCGTTATTGTAATTGCATTTGAGTCTTATTTTTTCTATGACCTGAACGGGGTTTTTAAAAAAAAGTTTAAGAAGTAAAGTATGTAAAGACTAAAGTGAATGCTAGCCATAATTGTAATTCGGTTAAATGCTTTGATTCTCTCTGATAGTTTTCTATTTTATATATGGTCAAACTTGAGTTGGCGCCAAACGTGAGTCGCAAACAAGCGTTGTTGAAAAGTTAGTATGTTCAGACTAAGTTGAATGCTTGCTAGCCATAATTGTAATCCACATTGAGCCTTTGATTTTCTTTGATAGTTTGTTATTTTCTTTATGGCCTGAGCTGTATGTCAGTTGGCGCCCAAGGTGGGCCACAAACGAACTTCTTCGTTTGCTGAGAACTGAGTGTGTTACGACTAAGGTGAATGCTTGCTAACCATAATTGTAATCCAGTTTGAGGCTTTGATGTTCGGTAACGCTTCAGAAGGAATTAAATTTAGCTTGTTGTGGCAACTCGAGGTCGTTGCTGGCTGCTAAAACCAGCTGCCAGCCATTTTCCTAGTCAGGTTAATGCAATTTACAAGTTAACTGCAGCGGCTGGAGTTGATTAAATTATAGAAATTGATTTGAAATTTTGCAGAGTTCAGTATGCAAATACGGGTTGATTTAATGCATTTATAAAGCGCAATGTTTTCAATTTTCAGTGGAAATGTATGTGTTTTTTAAGTGTGTGAATGTGTGTGTGTGTATGTTATTGTTTTGTTGGTTTAACAAAATAAAAATGGTTACAGATTTTGCAGATGAGTTAAGCCAAACGTAAAATGTACCATGCGCATGCGTGTGATGTTAGACAGAAATTATAGATTTTAGTATAAAATTTTGCATTAGTTTTAATTAAGAAACTACAAATAGCACAAACTAAAAGCTTTTTATGGAGTTCACAAATGAAATTTCGAGACAAAAGTTTTAATTTTCAACTTAACTTCTAGAGTCTTAGTCAAAAATATTTTGAAAAGCCAATGTATGGAGCTCTCTTCGCATACATAAATGCAATATTTATGCATGCAATAGGAGCAATAAATTTTGATAAAACTAAATCAATTCCTAAGCTAAGTAGGCCAATTGGAATATATGAAATGATATGCATAATTTAGGAGACTCTCTTTGTCTCTCTCTCTCTCCCTCTGGCACAAACGTGAGCAGCATTTGTATCTTGTAGATACCACTTAGTTATGGCATTTGGTGTGCGGCTACGTTTGTGCTTGAATATGGCTGGTGAAAATTTAAAGTTAAGCCAGCTTTAGTTGAAGCCACTAACTGATTAGATTAGCTATATATATATACATATAGATATTATTTTTTTTTTTTGGTATTTTTGTTCACCTAGTGGACTTCCGCGTGCGCCGTAATCCCGTGATGGTGAGCGATCGACCGTTGGCAATTCCTGTAGCCGACGCACGCGACCCGGACTGCGCACACCAGAGCTATTCACTGGATTATAATCGTCACGTGACATAATCCGCGGCTCATCCGCGGCATGCACCCACGCAGTTCTTGTTGTTGTTGGTGTTGTTGTTGTCTGTGTTGTTGTTGTTGCTTCTGCTTCTGTAGTTGTTGTTGTTGTTGTTGTTGTTGTGGCTGTCCTGTTAAATGCTTCGTTTGATTGGATTTCTTTGGTTTGTCTGCTCTAAATTGATATGCACGTTTTGATTGGCTTTTATATTGGTTCTATGTTAAATTCTTTCAATTGCTCGCTCGCTTGGCTGCATCTGCAAGAGTGAGAAGTGAAAAAGAACAAACATGGTACAAAATAAAGAAGGCAAACACCGCAAACACAGACAAGATCATATGCATATGCCACACATATATGTATACACATATTACGCATACGCCACCATATATTCTTACACACAGGCAAGATCTTTCGCATATTTCATATATACAGCCCGTTTTGTGTAAATATATACAATAATATATTAAGCATACAGCCCGTCTTGCACACAGCCAAGATCATTCGCATATAGAATATATACATACATCCAGTTTTGTGTATTCAATCATATATTACGTATACGTCTTGCATAGAGACCTCCCTTAAAGCATTTGCCGTTTTGCATTTAAATTAGACTACATCAACAAGCATATCCTTAACCTTTTTACCTAAATCTCAGCCAGCAGAAGCTGCACTAAACGCATAAGCAAATAAACCCAGCGGAGAGCTTGAGAGAAATGTCGAGAGCATAGCATTATGGCAGCTCTCGTCCGCTCTCTATGCAAATTTTGTTTTCTATTTAGACAAAACAAATCGCATGCAAATTGCCACTCGACCAAGTCGCTGCCAAGAGGAGTCGCACTCAGTTGAATACACACACGCACACACACACACAAAGGAGCACACACAGGTAGATGATTCGTATGAATTACAACGAGGGTGGAATCAGTAAATATCTGTGCTATCTTAAATTCAATAAACCAAATATTTTTGCATATAATTATAAAGCTATCCGCTTATATCAATTATGCTGCATTTAAATGTGTTATTTAAATGTGCCATGAACTATTATCTAGCAGCTATTTATTGGGGCTCATATTGACTTAGAATGATGAGTTCGATGAGTTCGTATGTTTCTCCTTCAATGCATAACGCAATTCCTGGAAATATTCCAAGACTCTCTCTCTATAAAAGCCAATGGAGAAAACTAAAAGCTTGGCTAATTTGCTCAATAAAAACCTGAATTATTAATCAGAGAAAAAAAAAACCCTTTAACAACCCTCGCTCGCCAGGAGATAGTCAGAGTCGGGCTGTGGCACGTGAAGGTAAGACGAGTCTCACGTTTTTCCCAGGCACTCACGGAAGGGCTAAAGAAAAAAGTGAAGTGCAGCCGGGCAGGGCGCAGGCAACTACTGAATGCGTCGCTTTATGAATGGCTAAAAAGAAAGAAGAGAGGAGAGTGCGGGCGGAACTGTGGCAAGCAACGGCGACAGCGACTAAATAAAAGCTAAACGAATCAGCAGACCGGAAGACCATTCAAATGTTTACTTGCATGCCTGAGCAGGCTGTGAGTGTGTGTATGTGTGTGGGTGTGACTGTGAGTGTGAGTGTGTCGCCTGAGTGCCCATTTACGTGACAGCAACAACAACGTGCCACATATTGGTGCATAAGCCTTGCAGCTAAGGGCCGCCAGCCGCAGCTATCAAGATGAGGTCAGGATCTGACCAGGATTCGATTACATATCCAGCCCGGCCATTAAGGCCAGCACTCAGCTAGGCAAACAAAGCACACGTACACATACACACACACACACAAGCACACACACAGTATCTACTGTATCTAGTTATCTATGCAGGCAGCTCACTTTTCTTTTTCTTTTTTCTGCTGCATACATTCAGGCGCGTCGTATTTTTATTCACTTCCGGCTCCGGGCTAGCAGCATTTGCAAATGCATTTGATGACGAATTCATGTACTATTGTTAGAGCTATTACAGTCGACAGTCGTTGGCGTTATCAGCGCCTGTCTGAGTTATCGCAGCGCCCCCGAGGCACCCTCACCCCCCCGCTCTACCCTCTGCCTTACCCCATAAAAACATGTTGAATTTGTGGGGCAGTCGCTCGCAGCGCCCATTTGCTATTCACCACACGCATTTGCGCAGCTGCCGCACTCAGCAAAAGACGCACACACACACACACACACACACACACACACTCAACGCACACACACAAACATACACATGTGACGATTCAACAATAGCGTCATCGTAAAGTATTTGCCGCATATTTTGTTGTTGGGCGTTTGGCGGCGTTTTCTTTATAACATTTTTTTTCTGTGCTTAGCGCTCTATGCTTCGAGACACACGCACACACACACACACACACACACAAACACGCACGCACTCATACACACACATTCGCAGCGGCAGCCCAAATAAGGTTAAAATTTGAAATCAATAAAAATTATTCCACTCATCTAAAATTAGAAGCAAGACTAAGGCAAGGCGAATGCCTCGGAAAATGGGCAATGAAAATGGAAAATGTAACTGTAACTAAAACCAAAGCAATGCCAAAGCAGTCACACGCAGCCCACGCCCCCCGAACGCCCCCTACCCTAAGAATAAAAACAAACACGCAAAGCGTTTAAGGCTGGCCGCCCATAAGTAGGCGTGGCCGTAGGCAGTATATAATAAATATAAAAAAAGGAAATACTCATTAGATGCCTCTGTCAATGCGCCGTCTGTGTGTATACTCGCATGACAAATCATGCGAGCTGCCTATTGTTACGCCTCCCCCCTCCTCCCACTCCCTTTGCGCCCCTTTGGCGAACGAGTTGTTTCTGGGCATATGCACAACTGCCTTTCGTGTGAAGCCGCATCTAATTAAAAGCTTTCAATTGGCACAAAAAAAAAAGATGGAAAAAGTTATCAAGAGAAATAAATTGAAAAAAAAAACCAATTAAATTTGAGAGACAATTTGACAGCTACTCTAAATATAAGCTAACTTATGAAGGATACAAAAACAAAAATAAGAAAAATAAACATACGTATGAGAAATAATTCGTTAGCTAAACTCTATAAACTACTTAAGGCTAAGCGCAGCAGGAGCTTAAAAGACTAAGCACAACATTTTGTTAAGGCGCTAAAACTAAACTTAAACCAAGTTAAATGCAAATTAGATAAATATTAATAATTATGAAAATAGGTAAAAAAATATGCTTCAATATTATTTATGTAAATAGAGCAAAAATTTGTAAATATTAAGAATTATTTAATCAAGTCTAAGAAATACTTAGTAGCAGTTTGTTTAGGTAAATACACAATATGCAATACACAATACGCATACACATACATACTCGATGGATATATACATACATATATGTATATATTTATATATATGTATATATATTTACAAGCATAATTTAAATACTTAGTTCGATCTGATCGGGGACAAATTTATTATTATTTATATGTTTACTCAAGACATACGCAGGAAATGAATAGAGCTAACAAAGTGCGTGAGTGTGCGTGTGTGCCTGTGTGTGTAAGTGTGTAAGTGTGTGTGTGTTGTCTTGATCGGAACTGCATTAACCTTGATTTTTGGCATATATTAGATATATATATAGATATAGACTAGATATAGCTGCTCACCCGCTTTGCTTAGACGATGAATTTTGAATGCTTGAAGTGTGAACGCGGCGTATGAAAATTAATTGTATATATATATAAATATATATGCTACAGCTACAGCTCCGGCTCTAGTTCCAGTTCCAGCTCCTGCTCCAGCTCCAGTTCCAGTTGCTGCACTCCGCACCTTAAGCTCAACAATTTTGTATTCTAGCTGCAATTTTTCACACACGCGACACAGCGGCTACATTGCCAGGCATCTGTCCTGTGTGTGTGTGGGTGTATGTGTGTGTAGGCGTGCCGCTGCCTCCTGCTGCTGCTGCTGTTGTTGTTGTTGCTGCTGCTGCTGCTTTCAGGCGGCGCTAAGTGCATTTCCGTTTCCGCTAAATTTTCGCATTTTATTTTATTTTGTTATTTTTTCAACTTTTTTTTATAATTAACTTTTGAACTTTCACTGTCTGCTGACTGATTGCATTTTGTTAATAGCCGCTTGTTAGTTAATGCATTTATTTACTTTTTTTTATGTATGTACATGACTGTTGAGGGTAAAAAAACACACACACCGCACTTTGGTTAAACTCTGTTGAGCTATTTTTTTCTTTGGTCTACTTGTTGTTATGCTGCACAGTTAATTAAAGCACATTATTATAATATGTTTTTTTTTTTTTATATATATATTTTTGCTCGTGTTGTTGCTCGAGTGCTGCGTGCTCAACGAGTGATTTATAAGGTTCGACGCGAAGTTGGAGTTGGGTGAGCTGCCCGCCGCTCTGCGCTCTTTTTTACGAGCCAGCTACTGACACACATTTTCACGCACGAAGCGAACACACATCAGAGCGAGAGTGAAAGAGAGCGAGAGAGAGAGTGAGTGTGAAAGAGAAGGGGGAGGGGGGGGGGGGCGAGTGGGAGTCAGCGATACGCGGAGGAGTTGCCGGAGTATGAGCGCTACGTTGCGACGTAACGCAGACGTAACGAGACGCAAACGTAACGAAACCGAACGGACCACTAACGAAGCTAACGACATAAGGGCAGAGCCAACCCAACCCACCCCATCCCACCCCCATCCCGCTGCCGCCCCCTGCTTCAGCTACATACAACATTATGTTACACGCCCGCCCCGCGACCCCTAACCTAACTTCAGACTGCACTGTATGTGTGTGTGTGAGTGTGTGCCTGTCTACTGTTATACAGCTTATTGCTGTTCAAACTTCATGTATGTGTGCGTGTGTGTGTGTGTGCGTGCGTGCGTGTGAATGTGTGTGTATCTCACACGCTTTATATGTAGGTTGAAGCAATTTATAATAATTTTTTCTTCGCCAATCGATATGCAGCGTTTAACATGGCCCAATAATGTATCGAATCGCGCCGACTATTCCTTTGGTAACATTTAGTCGAGTATTTATTCATGGTTTATTCATTTGATTCATGGCTGCACTCATGAGCTGTCGCTTTGAATAGTTTTTTCCACTATTCTTTTTATAGTTTCTTTTTAGCAAGAGGCGCGTGCACATTTTGCAGGAAATCACTTTTCTGTATCCAGGGAGCTGTCGCGGCCTAAAGCACAATTGCTGCTACACACGCACACACACACACATACACGCACGCACACACACAAGAGCACACACATATACACATTATTTTTCTTGAAGCCAACTTTTTGCAATTCATTTTCCAATTTTTTCTTAATTTTTTGTTTTAACACACTTTACACACACTTTCATTTAGCTTTTAGCCTGCACTTTTTTTTAGCCTTTTTTTTATTGGTTGTTTTTTTAGCTGCCAGGCAATTAAATTGGCCTTTTTTTTTGTTGCTCAGTTGCTGCTGCTGCTGTTTTAGTTATTGAAGCAGCAGCAGTTGAAAGATACATATACTCTGTGTGTGTGTGTGTGTGAGTGTGTGTGTGTGCGAGTGTGTGTCTGTGTGTGTGTGTGTAATCTAACCCAAAAAATTGTTGTGCGGCAGCTGCTGCTGTGGGGCCCGTTTTTCGGCAAAGCCGTTGTCCAACTAACTACCCTCAAAGTACTGAGCGCCGCTCGTCCGTGCCAGTCGCTGTTATAGTCTTCGCCATAGTCATAGCCAAAATCGTAGTCGTAGTCCGTGCTACCCGTCGTTGCGTGGTGAGTTTTCGCACTTGTCAGAGCCGCTCGCCTAAAAGGCGGGCAGAACTATATTGTGGAGCGCTCTCCATTCGGCGCTTCCTGATTGCAATCAATGAATTTTCATCGCGCGAGCGCAGTTTTCCTTTCTCTCGCTCTCAATTTCCCAACACACACACAACTGCATTTTCTCTCTCTCTTTCTCTCTTTACCTCTCTCTCTCTTTCTCTTTGAATAGTTGTATTTGGTTTTGCGTTTTGTTTTGTGCGGCTAAATGAAAATTCCAATAGCAAAATATGAAATATGCGCATACATTCCTTTACAACTGTCATGCGATTTGCATTACGTTTTATTTGTAAACGTTACGTGTTTGGTGGTTAAACTTATACGTAATAATATTCAAATTGTTACGTCTCGGCATGTGCTTTCGCTTGAGTCTGGCAATGCTGCATTTAAATGCCCGCCCTAAAAGTATGCTATACTTTTTCATTTGGCAATGCACAAAATATGGCAGAGCATTAATTATTTTAGCAATTCATCTAAAATAAATTTATATTCAATTTAAGTACATATATTGTAAATAAAAAAATAAAAAAAAATTAAATTCTTATACTAATTCATATAAAATGCTATATAAATCTCGATCGATGCTTTTACAAATTATGTATGTGTACGAATTATGATGCTTCCAAATTTTAATGCGGAGTTAAAGTAGGGCTCAAACTGTGAACAACAAGTCATTATCCATGAATATCGTTCCACTTTTGGCAAAGTTGGGGTGTTGGTATAAATCGACCTCGGCCCATATGAAAAATATTTGGTGAAAACTTACGGCTTTTAATTTTTATGCAGAATTCATGACAAGGTTAAACCATGGGCAATTAGATTGGGTTTGAGGAGCTTTACGAATTAAGTTGGAAACTTTAGAAAGCCTTAAGTATGGAATTGGGATCATAAGCTTTGAATGAATATATGCTCACGTAATTAAGTACTTACCTAATCATAAGGAATTTCGTAATTAAAGCAAAGCACAATCTTTAACGTTATTACAAATTATTTATTCGAGAATACCTGTGTTTTTGTGTTTGAGTGTGTGTGTCTTTTAGTTTGAGTGTGTATGTGTGTGTGTGTGTAATACATTATTTTCGTATATAATACTAAGAGTCGTTATGAGCTAACTAAGTAATACTAGCAACATTCGCATCTTTAGCTCTGCCTCCGGCTCTGGCTCTGGCTGCGGCTCGATTAGCCCACAGCTAACGTATGCTATTTTATTTACAAGTGAACTCCTCGTAGCTCTCGTCGCACTGCTCGCACTCGACCTGGCAGCACCAGCGGAACTGGCAGCGGCACTGCTCGCTGCGCTGTATGTGCTGTGTGTTGTGGCCACGCCCACAGCACAAAAGATCACAGCTCTGGGGGCCGTGGCCGGTGCGATTGCAAATACGGCCCGCAGTGCCCAAGGTGCCCATCTGAATGCTGCGCTCGCAATAATTGGGCGATGCCTCCAAATAGACCAGCTCCAGGCGCTTGGGCGCGACCAGCGTTGGCTTCTGGGTCGCAAGGTGCTTCTTTCTAAACAAGCAGAGGGAGACAGGGAAAGGAATATAGACATTTATTTTAGCGGCTGGGATTCTCGCTCACCTGCTTAATACTAATCTCAGTCCACGTTTGCCTCTTGCGGCTTGAACAGTTTTGGCTTTGTGATATTTCTGCATTAACTTGTCGCCGACCAGGCGAAATGGCGGCAAGCTTTTCCAGCAGGTTTTCATCACGCAGGAGCCGCTGACGCCATGGCACTTGCAGTCCGTGCGCAGCAACTTCTTGATGAGCTGCCGCCCAAATTGGTGGAGAGACAAAAGTTCATAGTTTATTTTTATTTTTATATAAATTTTGCATACGCACCGTGCGCCCCACGCGATTGTTGTGCAGATTCATGAGCGTGCGCGCATCCCGCTCCAGTTCACGCGCATCTGTAAACTTGCGCGTATAACGCATGCCAAATTCCACATCCGCCGAGCAGCCGCCCCACTTCCAGGGCTCCGGCGGCGCCGTCTTGTGGCGCACATCGCAGCCGCACATGGAGATGTTGCCGCTGGCACAGGCCGCTGTCACCGCATAAGCCGCTCCAGCGCTGGCTATGGCATACGTGTAGGCCGCCTCCCTAGAAGCTGCCACAGAAAGGAAGGTATCAGCACTGGCTGCTCTTCCAAGACGCCTCTGCGTCTCTGCTCACTCACCTATGGGTATGACATGGGCGAACACATTCCGCTGCCACACCTCCGAGCAGTTCCAGCGATGTCCGCGGAACTGATGCTGGCATTCGTGCGCGCCCCTCTGCTGACCCTCGCCCAGCGCGATCAGCGCGTCGGGCATTTCGCTGCAGAGCTGCCGCTGACCCAGTGTCAGGCCCGGTATGCGGCCACAGAGCATGGCGGACGTAAAGCTGGATACTAATCTGACGAGAAAGCAGGAACGTAAATACTCATATTAATGATACCCTGTAAACGGTGAAAAGTGTTCGTTGCTCAAATGCGAATCTAGCACAAAACTTGGCCGGGATTTTAAAGAAATATTTATAATATTTACTAGAAAAAATTATACGTTTTATGAAAATATTTTGCTGCTGGATTTGAACCAGCGACTGCCCACTTGACATACATTTCAATATTACATTTGACTTATTATTTGCCCTCATGTGAGATATTTTATCGTAACCAGGACTAAAGTCTAGTTCGCAGAGCTCTCAGCGCTTGAGCTCCCGTCTATTGTTTGTTTATCTTCGTTTCCGACTTCCTTACATATATTTATAATGCTGTCTGCTGCATAATTTGATATTTTTATTTAATTTGAATCTCTTACTTTGTTGTCAATATAAACAGAGACAATGAGCCAGCAGCAACGGCTAGAGGTATCAATAGCAAAAACAATTGCAACTGCAGCAGCAACAGTTGCAAACAATAAATTAAATATGGCAAGAAAATATGCACAAACAAATGTGGATCGAACGATGGTGAAAAAATATTTGAAAAAAAAAAAGTCGTGCTCGGTGCTCAATAAATGCCGCCAGCGATCAATTCATTTCCATTTCAGTTGCCATTGCCATGGAAAAGCCATGGAACAACAAGCCGAACCAAGCCGAGAACTGGCCACGAGTCAACGTTTAGCGGCTAAAAGTTTCAGTTGGCCAATGGAAAAGCAAATGTGCCGCATTCGAGCCAAGATTAATGCGTTCAATTGATGCTGTTGTTGCTGCTGTTGTTGTTGTTGCTGTTGTTGTTGCTGTTATGGGGAAGGTGAGTGGCGTGCTTCGGGGGCGTAGACAGTTTTACTGTCAGTTTTAGTCAAAATAATGCCGCCAGCTATATTATTAGCCATAATTACATGCATCTCAGCGTCTAATCATGGAGAAGCTTAGCCAGAGCCAGGCAGCTCGCAACAGTGTTGCCAGCTGTCGCTGCAAGGCAAATAGTAGCTGAAACCAATGTTGTAAAGTGGCTAAGAAAAAAAAGCTGAATTGAAATTGACAAGCTAGCAAGCTACGTTTGCATGTTTGGGCAAGAAAAAAGGCTAAATCAGCTTAAAAAGTAGCTAGAGTGGCAACTGTCAGCTGTTAGCTCGATAATAGCTGCATGTTAGCTAGTTTCTAGTCGAATTGACAACACTGTCGCCTAATCAAGGCTTAAATGCCAGACTTTAAGCCGCGTTCAGCTTAGCTCAGAGTTTGCTAACTTAATGCGGCGAAATCCACGCTAACCGCAAATAGCTTAAAGTTAATGCCAAATTGGATTAATGGAGTGCCTAACAATGACTTGTAAATTGCCAGCTCAGGAATTTCTCGCAAAAAAAAAAATAATAATATATATATGTATATATGTATAAACCAAAATCGAAGTAGCGTGCGCCTTTGAGAAGTCATTTTGTGTGATGAAACGCTTCCGCAATGTAATTGGTTAATTTAGCATAGAGCTTTGACTGTATAACCTTTCTCAACATTCCATTCGATCTATTCACAAATTGATGAAAAGCTTACGAAATTGAATTGGTAAAGATAGCTAGCTACTTGTTATAGGGCGCATCTCCCAATATTCCATTCCATCAGTTCACAAATTTGTTCAGTTATTTCTTTAGCGCTTTTACAGTTGGTCTTCTGGTCTTCTCTTATTAAGCAAGTCACTCACTAGCGGTAATCACTATTAAAGACGTAGGAAGAGCATTGTGAATGGAATGTGTGGCCCGTGTAGCCACTTCCCACACACACACACACACATACACAGTCGCACACTCGGCCATAGAATATGGCATACCTCTGAGCCACATTCATTGGCCGCATAACAAGCAATTGTCTACCTGTCGATTGGCCGAAAACGCCAATCAAACAGCTGCGCAGGCGTCCAAAATATGACCAAGCTGATCAGCTCCATTTCGGATAAGAACAGAGCATGGAGCACAGGGTGCTCGAGCAGAGAGCACAGGGTGCTGAAACAGAGAGCCTAGCTGTGTGCCACATCCTCGGGCCAAATGTCGATTCCAACTGGTTGTCAATTGCATTTGCGCAAAAAGTTTCTGTCGTCCACTGCTTTCGCCCATGTTTACAACGCATTTTTAATTGGGCCAATTAAATCAATTTACAGAAATTACAATGCTTACAGCAGGCGAAGCCCAAAGGTGGAACATGCGAGAGCCAAGCCATGTGTCCTCGGGCAACTGCACAAATTAACCCTTCAACTGGGCAGCAACACGGCAACTGGGAACTGGGAACGGCCAATCGACCAACGACGATCGTTTTCAGTTCAATCTGCGTTGCTATACCCTGTAAATACCGAAAGTGGACATAGTTGGGCATAAGCAAAAAGCGTGCTAAGGCAAAAGTCGAGCGATTTTGGCTGCTCGTGTTTATTGTTTTTGCTTTATGAGGCATATTCGCAGCCTAATATGTTGAGTACTGACTGCAGGGTATACGCACGTCGAGCATGCTTTACTTAGACACT